AGTGTTTTTGTATATATTTTCTTTATTATGCTGAGGACTAAAAAATAATAAACAGTGAAAAATATTTTCCTGTCAGCTCCATGTCAGCACACACATGGGTTAATCCCTCCCTCCTCCCGCCAATCAGGATCGTAACTCATAAATTTCGCAAAACCACCCAGCCTGCCATTCCTCTGTTTTCCTCCTACAGTTCAGGAACATGGACAGTGTGCTTACCTGGCGGGGATAAAGTCCTTGCACCCACCTTGTTTCTCCTGTCCTAGGTGAAGTTCCTGCAAACCTATCTAATATGAGGCACAGTGGGAGCTCCGCTGACAGTATTCGGGGCAGTGCCGACTTGCGCATTTTCACTGTGGGACCGGGCTGAAGTTGGGGGACGTATTGTGGCATGGCCCCGGGCGCTGGGAGTTGAAATGCATGTCCCGCATGCCAGGCTTATCTTTTCCACGGCTTGAAGAGCTGTTGGTTGGTGGCGCATGTTTGCTACGGCTTCGGTGACAGGAGTTGCAATGCTAGCTCTACGTTCCATATCTCTCTTCCGCTGTGGTGGTTCTAGTGCACATGCACGGCCAGTGGGGGAGATCCGACGGCTAAAGATGGAACGCACGCTGTGCATTCCAACTAGTGTATGTCACTTCCGCCGCATTGAACCCGAATATTAGATTCCCGGCAATAGGAAGCCTCTGGGGGCCGGTCCTTTTCACAGATAGCTATTTAAATCACCTGTTCTCTTGTTTTGTGCTGGCTGTTTAGAACTCTGCAGAATCGCAGTGCAGTTTTGGCTTTGTCATCCCTGCAGGAGCCAAAAAAGGTACCAAGGTGTCCAGTAGGCTCATAGGTTCCCAGGTAGTGAAAGTGATAGCATTGGCCTACAAAGCCAAAGGCTTGCCATTTCCAGAAAGAGTGTCAGCTCATTCCATGAGGAGCATTTCAACATCCTGGGCTGCAGGAAGTCAAGTATCCTTAGAGACTGTATGTAAAGCAGCCACTTGGTCTTCTCTGCATACGTTTGTGACCCATTATTGTGTGGATCCAGCTACCCTAACTACAGTTGACTTTGGCCATAAGGCTATTTTCTGTGCTACTGGGTGTGACTAAATTAGCTCAAGCATCCCCCCCCCCCTGTTGTGGCTAGTTTTTTCCCATGTGTGTGCTGACATGGAGCTTACAGGAAAACCGGAAAATTGTATTTCATACTAACCACAATTTCCCTTTCCTGTCTAGCTCCATGGCATCACAATGCCCACCTGAGAAGTTATCTAGTTATGGAACAGCAGGCCGGGTGATTTTGCCAAACTTGTGAGTTACGATCCTGATTGATGGGAGGAGGGAGGGATTAAACAATGTGTATGCTGCCTGTTGGAAATACAACATCCTATGCTGATATGTACTGATTGTAATTATATCTTTTGAGCACTAGATGGCGCTGTAGTGCCATGTTAGTCTATGCTAGCTTTCTATATGCATGCTTATATCTGTGGTAACCAGGAAGTTCTATCTGTACATATGTTTTTCTTCTCTACTATGCTGTGTTCCTGTATATATACATGTAATGTCCTGTTAAGCAATGTAAAATTTAATTCAGCATTCCTCAAGATCTCAGTGCTTCATCTAAACACATAACCAACACTGCCATGGAGTTTTTTTGATCTCTCTTTAGTCCACTAAATATGAAATAGTGCATATGAAATCTCAGTTACTAAGGATGCACCGATGCCATTACCATTACTTTTGGTATCTGAATACCATATTCAGAAGTACCAAAAGTATCTGGATATGGATACCATTACTTTTGGTACCTGAATACCATATTCAGAAGTAGCAAAAGTATCTGAATATGGAATTCCGAGATGGATATAGTCAGCAAAGGACCCTTGAACAAGTTTTGCCCAGCCCACTCCCCCATTAATTTACTTTCAAATACACACACTGTTTATAAATAAATAATGGGAAGGGAAGAATGCAAACATCACTTTATTTCCAGCCTAAATGGCAGCATGAGGGAACAGCGAGCATTCTGCAAGTTTCATTGCAGGTCAGGCAGGAAAAGAAGTAGGTGCTTACTACCCAACACCACCTGGATATTACAAACTATACATGTAATTTTTTTTAATTCTGAATGCATGTTCGTACGAATTCCGTTAAATTCGGACATTCGGATGCATCCGAATTTCTGAAATCGAACAAATCCAAACGTTCATTCAACAAAAATTTGGATCCGTCTGAATTTTATTCATAATTAAACTAAATTGGACATGTGACAGTGCTCTGGCCAATCAGATGTTTACGTGATGTCCGAATAATTAACTGAATTGAATTTCGGATCCGAAATCTGAAAAACTAAAAAAATTAAATCCGAAAAGAAACACATTTTTTGCGGGGTTACATGTCTATTAAAAACTGAGACAACATTTAGGACATCTTGAAAAAATGCCTCCAGTTTCTAACCTGCCCTAGAAGTGAGTCATAAACTGGTCAAAGTGATCACAAAAGAGGGTCCCAGCACCTGCCTGACCCACATCTTATGTATATGGTCCCCTGAATTCCAGAGAGCCCTTGTGCAGCTGCACAGTCTGCACAAATGTTGTGTCTGCCCTTGATGGAATTTATAAAGTGCACACAAAAGACACCTCTAGTAGGACCAGCCCACAAAGAGCTCACTGCTTCTTTTTTACTGACTATAACAGCCAATCTTAACCATACAGATAGTAAAACATACTACCAAAAACACAATTGCTCCATTAACACTTATGCTCAGATTGTACAAGTAGTTGTCCTAATACCCAATGGGAGGTGCCATGTCATATAGTAGTAATGGCATAAAAAAAAACAAATCGCTAGTCTTATAAGCATGACTGGTCTTGGGTGTCTGCTTGTACCCATAGTTATTACGGTGACTGATTAGGGCAACTGAATGCAGGCAGAGTGGGTAAACATTAGACATGTTACCCCCACCAAAAATTTGTTTAGTTTCATTTCGGATTGATTCGGATTTCTATTTTTTTGAGTTTTGGATTTTGGATTGATACAAATTTCTTGTTTGGGATCTATTTGGATCTTTTCAGATGGGGTTCTTTAATTTAAAATTAACTGAATTATTTTTTGTGGGTTTTAAAAAAAATCAATTTAGTTCTGCACTGGTCATCTTTGTCTGTACTGTTTATTTTAGTATGTACTAGTCATCTAAATCCATACTGGTCATTTTAGTCCGTACTGGTCATTTTAGTCCGTACTGGTCATTTTAGTCTGTACTGGTCAGCTTAGTCTGTACCAGTTTTAATTCGGAGAACAATCAGAATGAAAATTCGGATTTGATTGAATTCGGATACGTTTGAATTCTTAAATTTGGATGCATCAGAATTTCTGAATTTTACGAAATTCATTCTAATTTCCATTTGGAACAAAATGAAATTTACATGTCTTGTAAATTTCATCTCACTGAAACATAACTTTCATTAAAGTCAGGGATTCACATACTGTATAGCAGTCATGAATAAAAGGTACATCCAGAAGTAGGATAATCTAAAAAATGCTTTGCAATATCTCAAAAATTTATCTGAAGTTCATCAGCAGCTGACATATGTATGACAGATGCTAATAATGGATTCTCATCTGGTATGATAAATAGGAGTTTTATTTTCTGGAAGTGGACTATAAATTGTAACTCCTCTAGTGTAGAATATTGCACAGGTAATCAAGGCAACTCTCCATGCAGCTCTGAGCTGCTTCCTTTATTCTTCCCAGGAGAGTAGTTTTCCTACATTCTACTGATGATCTAAACCCAAATTTGTGATGAAGTAAATCCACATATAATATATGCAACCTCATTCTACACTTCATCTCCTCCAGATCTCCAAAGCTGAATTTACAATAAGCTACAGCAACCTAGCTCCTAAAAATCTTGTTTTCTCGCTAAGTTTAAAAGATGCATATCTCCTTCCTTCCAGGACTCTATGAATAATATTCTAACATGATTTTATGACTCTACAAAGAGTGTTTGCCTACAATAAAATAATTTCTTATGCATCAGCAACTGAAAAGAACCAGATAGGCAGTCTTTAGTGTAAATGTTCAAATATTTGTAAATGAAAACCAGCAAAAAGAGATTCTTAACAGGACTATATTATTTCCCTTGTTACCCGGTTCAGAGGAAGCTAATCAAATCAGCTGGATGTGGCTATCATTTCCCCCCAAAACTACTGATTCTCAACAGTCATGTCATTTTAGTGGAAGCCAAACAGGTTGTTTGGAAATACTATGCTTCCTTGGATCAGACTATGGCCACTTTCACGGGAGTTCAGTCCACACAATTGCAGTGTGCTTCTCTCTCCAGGGAAACACACAGCTGGCATGCAGACTGTACACATGTCCAACTTGTTGGCTGTGTTGATGGGGATAGAAGGTTTACAACAAGAAGCTGCTGTTTATAACTGCATTGGAGGCCTTCTCTCAAAAAGGAATAAAGCAACATAAAAAAGAGTTTCATCTAAAACTGATAAAGGAGAACAGAGTTCAGTTTGTCAATACACTCATTAGGTCCATACTACGGGATCAGATGGGAGCCTCCCAGGGTGAAGGGGCAGCATCTCCATGGTGGTTCAGTGCTACTTAAAACATCTACTATGAATAACCTACACAGACCTCAGATGCCATGTGACCCTGATGCAAGTAAAAGAAAGCACTTTGAGGCCCATTTACACCACAGTTCATGCGATGACACTGCATAAGTTGTTCTAGGCATATCTGAATACTAGCCTACAGTAACTGTTTTCTGTACAGCAACTTAAATCAGAAAGCTCTAAAAAAAGTCCTTACCTTTCCATATACTCCTATGCGTGTTTTGTCCACAAATGGAAATTGTTTCAAATGTCTGAAAAAGGCATACAGAATTCTGAGTCATTCACACATAAATGGAGCACAACATATATAAAAACTCTTTGGCTCTGGATAAAACATACACTAGGTCATTGTAACAGGTATGAAAAATAGAAAAGGTACACTTACTGCACCAGAGGCAGGTGATCTTTAATCTCAGCCGAACCCAGCTTTCGGTCAGCTCCATGCAGCATATTCAGACCTTGATTTTTAGACCCCCGGCCATCAATCTTTACTACAATTATCTGGAAACAACTTACAAGCACTGATTCCCACCCAAGAGAGAATATCTCTGTGACCTGCTGAGAGCCTGGTGCTTCTGGCCTGTATGGTGATAAAACATAGCTCATTTTTCGAATGTCTCATTCAGTAAATGATACAGTATCTTCATAGCACAAAAAGAACCATCCAACAGCTGTGCCTATTTCATTGCTAGCATTTTCTCAATTTTGTGTACAGTTAGTTCTTTCTTTAAATAATAGATGTTTTTCTCTCTTTTACTGAAAAATGTTATTGTAAACATCCTGGTTTTCCTGCCCATCTGTCTCAATTGCCATTTAGTTGAAATATGCAGAAAAATAGGATAGTTTCTCTAACTGTAGCATGAAGGGTGTTATAAGGAAACTTGCATCTACCACAAGAACCAACTTAGCTGGGAAGAAAAGCTATAAAGCACCAGATCCCACTACTTATTTGAAGACTTCATGCAGCTCTTCGGAAATACACTGTACAATTTAGCAGCTTTCAGCAGCTTTTGATTCCAACACACACACACCTTGTGTGCCTGGTTCTCTCAGACTTTCCAAACCTTCCAGCCTCCCAGGCTGTTCCTTGTGTACCTCCAGCACACACCACACCTGGCTTCGCCCTCTTGTGCCTGCAGACCACACCACACCACACCAACTCCCCCATTGAGCTCTGGTCTGGCCTCTTAATGAGACTGCTCTAACCTGACCACAGGCAACACCTGACCTCAGGACTGGAGATTTTATCCCACCCAGAACACTTAGAAATCTCCAGCATTCCAGATCCCAGCTACAATCCGTATTTAGCCCCCCCTTCACTTTTCGCCCGGGGCCCGCGCCCCTGCTGCCCCCCCGGTTGTTACGCCACTGGTCCTGGGTGTCTGTGTCACCAGCATACTCCGTGCCATTGCTCCGCACTGCCACACCGTCTAAATCTACAGGTGTGACTCTTATTTAAGCATAAAAAATCAGAAAGATCATTCCAAGCCTAACTTCCAGAAACTCATTGGTGGCATTGGTTTCTGGAAGTTAAGCATAGTGTACATTAATCTGAATCCATATCTTTGCCTAAAACTGATACCATATGAAATGGAAAAATTATCTAGAAATACAGGCTTACTTACAGCCAGAGAACTACGGGGTACTCAGAATCCTGGTAGCCTGATGGAAGAGTCAGACGGAGGGATAGGTCTGGCAAATAGAATAAATATTGTTCAGTAATGAGAATATAAACTGTGTTTAAATTATTTTGCATTCTGGGCTTGATATGAGTGACATTCACAAAATGAATGTGTTATTTGAATTTAAATATTTCTGACATTCTCTAACTGTTCCTTACACTGAGAATTACATTTTCCCAATACATTAGATAACCAACAAAGCTCTGAGGTCCTGTGCCTCTCTACCTCCGGCTTCCATCACTTCCCCATGCTGTCTGCATACAAACTGCATAGAACTGTTCTACGGTTAAGCAGTAACGAAATGCTTCAGAAGGAAAGCATGTGTTGAGTGTCTCTGTTGACAGAATTAAGTTTTTGTACAACAAAAGAAGCCACCCTCCAGAAGGAAGGGTGATAGACAAATAAAGTACATTTTTGTTAATAGTTAGGGTACTTGAAGGCATTTTGGTGGTTTAGTGTCACTTGGTTCAGTGTCACTTTAAGGTTTAAATTGCCTTATGTCAGCAGCCATGGGCATGTACCATAAACTACTGTGAATGATATCTCTGCTGAGGTAGTATACTTGCAGAGGGATTTAATAAACATGTACAAGGTGTTGGTGCAGTAAGTAACTGGTTCCAGCTTGTAAATTCCAGTAAAGGCAAGATGGCTGACTGATTTCCAAGAGCACTGACCATATTTAACAGGTAAAATGTATCTGCACACTTCATCTTTGATATTTTCATTATATGTAATACTTAACATTAGAGTCAAACTTACCATAACCATCGATTTGAATAGTTCTGTACATTGTCTCTGGCATGTCTTTTGTGCTGAGATACATTTTCAAGGCTTGGTTGTCCTCAATGAATAGGAAGTCTGCAAGGTTAAAATTTCTCTGAACATGCCTTGGGCTTATGTAACATTGTAAACATTTTTTTACATAAGCCCAATACAATATGGCTTTAATATAGAATAGTAATCATGTATACAATTTTTGTGATTATTCTGCTGGGGGGAATTATAAGGACATAATACAAAGTAATCCACTCCAGACTGGGTAAAGACTAAGACCTAAGACCTATGAGGTACTAGGTTGAGGTAGAGAATCAGAGGAACAATAGGTTTTCTACACCACCCATTTAAATGTCTCCAAAATTAGCAGCCAGCCAATAAGTTTGGCATCTTGTTCTATACATGGGTATATGGGAATGTTTAAAGTCAGCCTGTGGTGGCAATACAAATATCACTGTAATCAAACCAAGAGCTGTATACTAGGCATGTAGTAAAGCCTAACTGTACATTTATTCAATGGAAAAGACTTTGAAAATGCTGTTGCAGCTTCCCCTAATTTCTGTTGTATGTGGAGAGAAGACATGCCCCTCTCTTACCTCCTATAGGTGACAACCACTCACCAAACCAGAGTATTGCAGTAGAGAATTTAGGCTTTTAGGCTATAATCTGTACCTGTAAGGTATCCAAATTAGAATAAAGGACGAAACCTTACGAATACAGATTACAGAACGCTTTGATAGTTCATAAAAGGTGGAGACAGGTTCTCAATGTTGACTAAGATAACATTTTTGGGGGGATCTTCACTTTACACACAAGCATTCCAAATAGTTTGAATTTTGAATGTTTCCCACTTTTCTGGTTTTCTTGAGACTCTTGATGAGAATTACTATATAAAATCAAAGTTAGAGCACACACGTGTGTGTGTGTATATGTGTGTGTGTGTGTGTATATATTCACATTAGAATCCTTCCTTTCACATCAGTAGCCCTCCTTCACATTAGAAGCTCCCTCCTTTTATATCAAAGTACCCCTCTTTTCATAGCCCCCCTTTATATCAGAGCCCCTCTTTTATATTGGAACTTCTACTTTCACATAAGAGTCCTACCATCAGGAAATGATAAGGCACCCCTGGGGAAGCCAGTAGGCACCACTGTGTGCCATGGCACCCTGGTTGAGAAAGGCTGACTAAGAAGATAGACATGCTTCTAAAGAAGTGCTAGCTATCCCTGGCCTCAATACATTCATAGTCACCCTCAGGGAACTAGCATGTAGCCTGAAAAGTCATAGAAAGTCAGACTTCCCAATCTGCATACTTATTTCAGATCTGTGAAGTGCTGAAGCCTTCACATCTAGCATCTAGACAAATAGCATTTTCAAATGCTCATTAATGGCAGCCTATGTACAGGTTTCCTTTAAATCACCCACAGCAAAATAGCCAAACCAGAAACATTCTGCCATTTAGTTTAGATTCTAAATCACCTATATTGATCTAGATTTTGAAATTCTCCTACCAATACTCTTGCTATTCACCTTTTAGTAAAAAGACCTGATATTTTGAAAATAGTTTGGAGAAATAATTTCTGTAGCATAAGAATGTATAAGTGGGTGGGGCTTGTGGGTAGGTGGGGCATATATATAGGCTGATCACAAGGGGGCCCCAAAATCATGTATGGCCTGGGGGCCCCATGTGTTGTCAGTCCGCCCCTGTTTCCACTTTTGCAGTCAAATTGGGCCAACACCTGTTTTATATTTGTAACATGTTCCTATTCACTTAGCATAACTTTCATAAATATTAAAAAATTATTACTAGCTGTTTTTCTGAAAACTCCAAAAACTGAAGATTTTTCATTATCTGTAATGTCAATGAGAAAGCTTGGGTTGGATGGGGTGATAATTTACCAAAATTAACCTTGCCTGTTTAGCTCAGTGATGTCTGACAAAGATCAGCCGCCTTCTGCAGCCTCTTCCCTTGTTCCCAAAGTTACAATGTTGTAGTCTAATCCCTAGAGGAAAGGAGACTGAGGAAATGCTTAACCTGTCTAAAGCCGACTGATGATATCATCTCAGCCTGTGCAAAGTCACCGTACTGAAACTCAAGGACAGCTTAAAAGATGAAAATGTACATAAATGTTTATTTTGACATGTCAGGAACATATTCATGCAAACTGGTAAAGTTACTGCAAGGTCCCTTTTTATGAAGTATGTTCAGTGTTCTTGAAATTATGGCCAAATACCCATTTGAGTTTATCTGTAAGCCAGCAGTCAGAAATGATAGACAGTAGTCTTTTCCAGTCCATGAAGCTCTTCAATAGCCATTATTAGATATAAAAGTGCTGGCAGCATACACAATAGAAGATGGAAGATAATAGTACAATATTATATTTTGGACTGATGAATGGATATTATGGATATTGTTATACTTTGGATTTATGGACCGATGTTGTGGATATTGTTATACTTTGGAGTTATGGACCAATGTTATAGATATTGTTATACTTTGGACTTATGGGCTGATATTATGGCTGTTGTTACATTTTAGACTGTTGTACTGATGTTATGGATGTTATATTTAGGACTGAAGGACCGGGGTAATGGATATTGTTATACTTTTGGCTTATGCACCGATGTTATGGATGTTGTTATATTTTAGACTGTTGGACCGATGTTATGGATGCTGTTATGTTTTGGACTATTGGACCGATGTTATGAATGTTATATTTGGGACTGATGGATTGATGTTATGGATGTTGTTATATTTTAAACTGTTGGACTGATGTTATGGATGTTATATTTGGGACTGAAGGACCGGGGGATTGGATATTGTTATACTTTGGACTTATGGACCGATGTTATGGATGTTGTTATATTTTAGACTGTTGGACCGATGTTATGGATGTTGTTATATTTTAGACTATTGGACTGATGTTATGGATGTTATATTTGGGACTGATGGATTGATGTTATGGATGTTGTTATATTTTGGACTGTTGGAGTGATGTTATGGATATTCTTATATTTAGGACTGATGTTATGCATAGTGTTATATGTTGGATTGATGGATCAATGTTATGGATAATGCTATATATTGGACTGATGGACCGATGTTATGGATAATGTTATATATTGGACTGATTGACCGATGTTATGGATAGTGTTATATTTTAGATTGACGGACCGATGTTATGGATATTGTTATATTTTGGATTGATGGACTGATGATATGGATATTGTTATATTTTAGATTGACGGACCGATGTTATGGATATTGTTATATTTTGGATTGATGGATTGATGGACTGATGGTATGGATATTGTTATATTTTGCATTGATGGACTGATGATATGGATATTGTTATATTTTGTATTGATGCACCGATGTTAGGGATATTGTTATATTTTGGATTGATGGACTGAATTTATGGTTATTGTTATACTGTATTTTGGATTGATGGACCGATGTTATGGATATTGTTATATTTTGGATTGATGGACCGATAATATGGATATTGTTATATTTTGGACTGATGTTTTATGGCTTTATACTTTTTGTGCTGTATGTTATGCATCATCATCAGAGAAAAGTGAGTTTCTGTTATCCTTTTTTTCATTCAGCATTGCCACCATCTCACACACATTCTTTTTTTTAAATCCGGTACAGAATACCGTGTTATTGATCTTGGTAACAGAGGGTGAAGGTTCAAGTAAAAGCTCCATCTTATTTCTTTACTTTGGATTGCTGCTAAGGCCACATGTCTGTACAGTCACAAAGACACATACATATTCTTGGGTAAGTTCATTCAGAGGTCACTTAACTGACTAGTATGTTTCAGATAGTGAACTGAAGCACCAGAGGAGAACACCATAAATACAGACATAAAACTGCTTTCCATAAGGATACTACTAAAATATGAATGCAAGACCTCAGTTCCGGAGTGCATCAGGATAAAGTACACCTGTCATGGGAGAAATAAGTGTGCTGTCATTGCTAGCCACCTGCTGAGAATGCCAATTGCCTGGCTGTGTCTGGAGTCAATACTTCTAAGACACAGGCCTGGTACTTGAGCGTCAGAAAGTGTCTGATTTCCATTTCTCTATACTCGTTAATGTTACTGGTTAAGAAAGCCTTGAACATGGAGTATCAACATGACAGCCAGGAAGTATTCTCAAGAAAAGATGGCTATCTAACCACTGTGCCATTATATAGATTATTCTCTGTATGTATATGTTCATATTATTTTATCATATAAAGAAAATACCACTCACCCTTAGGATTGTTAATTGGATGTACAGAAATGTGAGGAATTCCTGGACCTGTAAAATATCAAATACAGAAGGGGAGGTATTTACCAGGCTAAATAAACTGGCAATTATACTTAAAGGATATATACAGTACAGTATATACAATACAGATTTTGTACTTTGTACACATTTAATTTAAAACAAAATTTAAAAAAAGCATTTCTTCTTGGACATATATAT